AAAATTAATTTTACCGTCTCGATTGATATTCACTTTCATACAATGTAACTTTCATACATTTCATTAATAATTTACATTTTCGTTAAATGCTTCGTAATTCTGAAAGAATTGTTTTTTAATAAATAAATATTTTTATTAACAAAATTTAAAATGTGAGTGTAAATATCAATTTCATTCATAAGAACAACAATAATTTTTTATTATATAAGTGTAATATATATATATATAATTAACGAATTTCAATAATAAAAACTTAATTAATAATGATTTCACTGATCGATGTTAAAATAATCAGAAAAATAATCAATTATTCTGCCTAATATAAATTCGCTGTACTTGATCTAGAATTTATCCATGCTAGCTAGATGCAAGCTACCGAGGCGAGCTTCTACCCTTTTCAAGGTGTATCTTGCGCACTGGGTTGCGCACATGCGCGATCATGCAGAGAAAATCGAGGTATGAGAAGAGGGCGCGGTACAACGGGAACGGGAAGGGGATGGACGTCCCAGTGTGACAAGGATCGAATTTTAAAGCAATAGCGCATACATAAACTTTATAAGAAAGAGAGATTCATTCAGAAGATGTTTTAATCTTAATTTCTTGTTTTAATAAATTCTTATACACGATGTTTCGTAATTACTTTATAATTAAAATTTGCTTGATTAGTTTAAGAAAAATTTAAATTATTTATAAAAATATTAATAATAGTTGTTTAATAATAAATCATTATGGGAATTTGATAGAATAAGAAATTGACTTTCTTCCTGGCATTCCTGACTTAAAGAATGGAGATGCAATGAGAATGCAAGCTTTCTAATAAGAATAGAGAACGTGGGAAGGAAAGGTGGGTAGTTTGGGAGAGGAATGGAAAGGATTTAAGAACGACAAAGATAATAATCTTAGAAGAGGAGAGGCAATTTGAATAGATTCATTTAGAACGATAATAATTAAAATTATATTATTTATGAGATTCACCCTTTATTAAAAGTGTTATCAGGAAAACTTTAAATTAAATTTATATGAGATAAAGAAAAATTAAGATATAAATTAAAAAAATTATTTTCAAAAGAAGCTGTCAAGATTTTGAATTATCAATCGAAATACTTTAAAAATAAATAAATTACAGATATATAAATTTCTTAATTACATAAATTAAAATTTAAATATTAAAGAAATGTTCTCGACATTTATTTAAATAATTTTTATTGAGACAATAAACAATCTCCTTTTTTTTCGTACATACAATCTTATATACTTTTACAAACTCTTATGGCAAATTACATACTTTCTCGATATAAAAATTGCTTATATATTATCAAAATATATAAACATAATATGAAGAAGAAAGTCTGTATATATACACATATGTTTGTATATTTCATTTTTTATATAAAAATTATTTCTTTTTTGAATATATATATATATATAT